GGGTTTGCAGGGACGATCGAAACGCATGTCAACAACGGTGGCGTGACAGCTGCCGACACTCTGCGTGGCTATCGAGGAGCATTGTACATGGGCATCGGCCTGGCCGGTCTCGGTCTCGCCTTAAGTCTGTCGTTCCTAGTCAAGCAATACTACGACGAGAGGAAGACAAATGCGAAGTCAAAAGATCATCGTGCAGTCTCGCCGAGCGAAGAAGAAAGCCGATAGGCAAGTAGGGGTCTTGATTTGCAATTGAAATCGAGCATGCATGTTCATGATATCCCCCCCCGCACAACACCTGGGAGGCATCATAGGACCAGTACCTTACTATGGAGCTGTGTCAATTCGCGATAATGGGCTTTTAGCTGCGTATATGAAGTGCAGGCCTGCTCGCGTGTCCTACGGCTGCTTTATTCTACATTTCAACTCACTGCATTCGTCTCGCTTTCATGACGAGACTCAAACGACAAATCCTGATCATGTTAAGCCCAACAAGCCTTGGTCTGGTCCTGAACGTCTGCTTTCTCTAACAAGAGAGCGCGGCGGCTGATTCGATCATATTACATTATAGACGGCCGAGGTCTGCATCAGTGTGGCAAGGAGGTCCACGAACCTGGCAATTATTCACGCCAATGAAGGCAGTCGGGTACAGGCGTTGTCGAAGCTGTCAGACGAGCATCCACAGCTGGGCTTGACAAGGCGATGGGTGGTAGTAGAGGCAGATCAGGCCAGTGAACTCGGAGGGTAAGGTTCAAGCTTCTGCTCAATCTGCAAAGCCATTAACTGACGATTGGAGCAAAATCGTCGTCGAACACAGGCTCGCTTCTCAATAGCAATCGATCTTTTGTCCGACCAGCGCTTCCAACAACTGTATCCTCGTCCCATTTCCAGAGCCTCTTACATGACTGCTGCCCCCAGCCCCGCGAAGTAAAGCCAAGCTTGTTTGGGGGACTGGCCAAGCGCCCGGTCGCGCGGAGATTCTGCGGTCTCCGCAACAGTTGGAGTTTTCCCGCGCCTCGAAAGGATGCGTGACATGCACTCTTTCACTTTACGGGCCCAGTGAGCTGGCGATAATGAGTGGGCCGACACGTGCGTGCTCGACAGATGCCAAACATCGCTACACCACATTTTACGATACTCCTTGGCGGCTCCGCTTCCACCGACACCCTCCCGCTTGGAACCCGGCCCTTCTCGAGGGTCGCCTCCCTCCTCCGCGACACTATGATTGCCGACGTCAGGCGCCAAGTCCGCTCTGGCCACCTCTGAAAACCATGACCGTCAGCCTTCATCATCAGTCGTCATTACCAAGCGTCTCTGCTAGCCATTTGTGTTCAAATTTTACCGTCAACACGTCAGTCCAACGCTCAAAACGCGGGTTCGAGAAACTCCTGCTTATTCAGCTTTCGGATCACGTGAGACCAAATCTGGGGCTCTTGAACGGCATCTCTCCCGTCGTCTTCTCACATCGCGTGCAGGTGACAATGCTGACCGTCATGTTCCACGGTAAAACCCGGTCTCGCTGCACGACAGAATTTCTTAGGCCACTTTTGTCCAATCAAGTCTTTGATATGCCAGCAGTTGGACATTAGGCAGGCTTGCCAATTACTCGGCAAGTCTTTGGCCCATGAGTATAGGCGGATCAGGCCTCTGCTTCATTTGCAAGGCCATTACCGCCGGAATTTTTACGATTCTTCCATTTTCGAGCTACTGTACGCCATCCTCTGACGAATGCGCTCTTCTATGGCGAAGCTGAATCACCATGGCTAGCCATTCAAAGCATGCCGAACAAAGAGAGGCAGGTGATTCTGAGGTGAGCATGGTATACCTAGATGTGAAGCCAATATTAGAGTTGACGTACTGATGCGGGAACTGAATGTAGGCAGGATGACCCGTTTAAGCAAGGATGCAGCTAGAAGTAGAGGAATAGAGCGGAAGCTTGCCTAGGAATATGTCCGCAGATCGCGAGGACGGCTCCAGGCGGAAGGAGCATGTAGCTGCACTTGTGCGAACAATGATAAGAATTTGCTTCACTCTTATAGTTCCTGGAAAACAGCACCTACCTCTGCTCCAGAAGCCTTGAACAAACGAAAACTAAGCCTTGCTTTCAAGCTCAAACAATCAAGAAGTCGCCTAGTAAATCAGCGAACGATGGCGCCTATTTGTCGTCTAGCTCTCTCTATCCTGCTGCTCGCTTTTACTACAGACCTGGTACAAGCAGCGGATACGGGATGCAAAAGTACTTCTAAAAAGTGTGATCTATGTCACACAGAAGAGAAGGGAGTATGTTTAAACCATTTGTAGTCTGATATAAGTAGGCCATGCGGCTAACGTCAATTAAGGATGTTGGTTACTGTCATACAGACCCCAAAGCGCCGTTAGGAAAAAAGTTATGCATAGAGCGGAAACAGGAAAAAAGTCAATATCATCCAAGCTGTCAAAACAAACACCACTAGGGAGGTCCGGCGTACAGGTCACGGCCATTTGCCGACATGGCGCTGTAGGCAGATTCTCCTCCAGTCCTGTCTTAGACTACTGCTAACTTGACTATTTGTTACCAGAATGTCGCATATGGCAAAGTGTCGCTATGGATACTACTCTCTCCAGACCTGGGATTGCCCCTTACATCTCGACAACCTAGCAAAGCATGGCTTCGTTGGTACGTGCTTTCGGTGAGGTATCAAGATTTGGCGGTGCGGCGCGTGTCTGGGTCGACGGCGTATCAATTATCGACGGGTGCAGTGCGTGCCTGGTTCGGCGGCGTTGCGTGTATCTGGTTCGATGGTATGACAGTGTTTAATCTAGCGTCTGGTTCTGCGTGTGCCGGCGGTGTCTGGTTCCCCCAAGGAAGCAGCTACGCCCAAAAGCAAAATCTCATCCATAAAGCTCGTGAGATGAAGGTACCACGACACAGCGAGTGCCTAGATCATCGGCGACATAGCTATAGTTGCGGTCACCCATCTACCCCTTAGCACCAACACCACCATCTGTTCCCGGACATTCCTCTCTTTCTCGTCTCCACGACCTGACCCTCTACCGCTATCAACTGCAATTCGCCTTCAGCGTTCTACTATCCCACTGCACCCACGGGTAAGACCCGTTGGAATTAATCCTGCGGGGGTTCCTGGGATGTCTACTGATGGAACAACTGGTAGTTTCCTCTCTGCATTCGGTTCTGCATTACGGGATCTCGTCTATATTACTGGCTGCTCTCACTTCTGTCGCATTGATATGACACCTCTTCTCGACGCTAGCCTGGTACAGAGGCTGGTGTGCTTCCAAGCCATACCACACGTTCAACTTCATATGGTCGTCCCAGAAGGCACGGCGCTTCGGCTCGAAGACATCCTGGCCCTTTGGCAGCTTCACTTCAGCCACAGCATGGAACGGGTACTTCTCCTGATCCCAATCCATGGGACAGTCCTCAACGCTTTGCTCGTCAAGATTTCGATTCAACTGAACACGGAAATCAAAAATTGCGTCATGTTCCTGGAAGAACTCCCGAAGCCATTTGCTGTGCTGTTCTGGACCGCTCTGGTCCGCGATCTTCATCTTCTCGGCCAGTCTGTGTTGCAAGTCTTGCGTTGGGAACATAGCGTATTTGACGATGTGGTCGCCCCAGCGATATGCTGATTGGGAGAACATAGTGTACGACATAAAGTGCTGGTTCGGTAGGCCTGCCGGGGCAAATTGCATGTCTTTGTCTTTGCGTTCGTTGAGTTCGGCTTTGAGGCCTTCCGGGTTGTCGAAATTTCTCTCCTGCCAATAATCAGAATTGAGTTCTCAGATTCACCATGAGGAGAGGTGAAACCACACCCGAATGTCAAATATCTCGAGAGTGGTATGCAGATCTGTCAGCTCCAATACGGGTGCGTTGTTGAAAGTGAAGTCTTGTGTCCTGCGCAGACGAGAACGTGAGCTTTTCCTTAGGAAGAGGTGGACATCGAACCTACTGTGTCGACTCTCCAACGTCGTCCAACCATGGCCCAGGATGATCGACGTTGAAGACTTTCATACCACAACCCCTGGGCCCAGGGGCGCGGTCGTCTTGTAGGAAACTCGGCTCGTTTGCACTATATTTGTAGACCTCCATCAGTGGTATGACCACCGAATATTGACGCAGGCTATGCTCACTAGCGAATGCCAACAGGATACGTCTTCCCAGCTCTACTGAAGATGCCTTGAGCAAGTTCGGGTGGGAGATCGAGCGCCACTGTCAGAGTCCCCTTGACAATCGCTTGCGTCTTGACATGCGTGCCGCGAAAGCCATGGCGATGATGGGAGAAGTTGCGGTTCTGCACTTTGTGAATGCGATCAATCACTCCCTGAATCAGGTCGTCTTCGCCTGGAATCGATGGCTCGACCTTGGGATCGTTCCAAGCTGTCAATGGCGATGTCATGGTGGTATGTTGCTGATGTCCTCCTGCACACACATAAGGCTGTAACTCTGGGGGAGTCTGGGTGTAACAACAGCTTGTTTGCGCTTGCAGCTGACCAAACCCTATTGCCATGACTTCATTTCTGTAGCGAAGGACGCCTGCCATCGCCGTCGGTATTATTAAGTGGGCACAAGTCTTAGGCCAGCGTTTCTTGAAGCGGGATGTTAGGAAGCTGCCAGACCATCAGAGAGGCCCATCGTAGAGAAAGAGATATTCCATCGGAGATATGAACACTGCAGCCATCTGCCTGGACAGTGATGAAGTCAGTCAATCAACCATTTTACTGTTCGACATAACTGCCTGCTCGATGACACAGTGCGACAGCTCAAATCAGCGTCTGATCATGTGTTCACAGAGTAATGAATTACGGGCGCAACCAAACAGTCAATAGGTCGGTTGATTGATCTCTCATGCATAAGCCTGAGCACGCTAGAGTGCCAGTCTTGGAGAGCGTCCTGGTGCACCGCTATTGACACGTCATGCCACCCTTAACGAACATCAAGTTGCAACAAAAAAAATAAAGGCTTGGACTATCGCTCCCCGATGCACATCCGAAAAATGTGTTATAGGTCGTACGCGGAATTGAACCGCGGTCCCCGGAAATTTCTGATACCTTGCAGGACTCAGAATCCGATGTGATAACCACTACACTATACAACCAGCAATCATTATTTCCGCCAATATAAAATATATCAGGCAATTACAAAGTCTCCGAATCGGTACACGGCTTGTACGCTAGCGTGGCTTGTAGCAAGTCCGTCGGTCTTCGCTCTATTCCGGCTCATTAAATTCAAGGCAATTTTCATTGCTTTTCGGACATCGATTAGTCAAATACATTTAAATTGATGGCTCTGCGCCAGCTAGGAGTGGCCGCCTCAATCGATTGAGTCGTCAAAGTGCTTGATCGCAGTCTGACGCAGAGTCGCAGCGCCGATCTTCGAAAGTTCTTGGGTTTTACCCGGTGACTCTTATGGTCAGATACCTAACTCATTGAGTCTTCCTACAGACCCATTGAGACCAGGAAAGGAGTCGCATATGTCCACCCAACTCTCAGCTATCATACAGCAAAAGCTTGCATGCAGCAATTGCGACTGTGGGATGTTATAAGCCTCCACTCGTTCGACCGCATCCTCGCCGACACAGCGTTGCTCTTTGTGAGCGAGCAGCTGGTCAGCTAAGTCCTCACTATCTCCAGGAAAGGGAATTGGAATGAACGACGATATGGCCTCCACGGCAACCAAAGTCCCAATACTGGGCAACGACAGCATCATCGTCGACTACGGCCTCTGGCGCACATACATTGTACCTGACCTCCTTCAGAATATCCCCTCCTCCACCTACGTCCTCATATGCGACACCAACCTCGCCAAGCTCGACTACATTAGCGCTTTCCGCACGCAATTTGAGGCTGAGCGGGAGAGACTAGCCAAAGACGCCAGGCTATTAATTTACGACTCCATCAAGCCAGGCGAGACATCGAAAAGCCGGAAAACAAAGGCCGCGGTGGAGGATTGGTTGCTGCAGCAGGGATGTACCAGGGACACGGTGATCCTCGCGCTGGGTGGCGGCGTGATTGGCGACTTGATTGGGTTTGTAGCCGCGACGTATATGCGCGGAGTGCGCTTTTGTCAGATCCCCACGAGTCTCTTGGCGATGGTGGACAGCAGCATTGGAGGCAAGACAGCTATCGACACTCCTTTGGGCAAGAACCTGATTGGGTCGTTTTGGCAGCCGGAGAGGGTGTACATTGATCTGCAGTTCTTGGAGACGCTGGAGAAGAGGCAGGTCTGTAACGGAATGGCTGAGGTGGTCAAGACGGCGGCGATCTGGGATCTAGAAGAGTTTGAGCGTCTGGAGGAGGGTACGGATGCGATCATGGCGGCACTGGACAAGCCGGTGGGAAAGGGCAGATTCGAGGGCATTGAGGAGGTGTTCAAGAGGATCGTTCTGGGCAGTGCGAGGGTCAAGGCAGAGGTGGTGAGCGCAGACGAGAGGGAGGGCGGTCTGAGGAACCTGTTGAATTTCGGGCATTCCATCGGACACGCGTACGAGGCTTTGTTGACGCCTGAGATCCTGCACGGTGAGGCTGTGGCTGTGGGTATGGTGAAGGAGACAGAGCTCGCGCGACACTTGGGGGTTCTGGATCCCGGTGCGGTGGCAAGATTGGCGAAGGCCATTGCAGCATACGGCCTACCGACGAGCTTGAACCACAAGGGCATCACGCAGTACACGAGAAAAGCCTGCCCGGCAGATGAGCTGCTGCGTAGGATGGCAGTCGACAAAAAGAATGCCGGAAGCCAAAAGAAGATCGTGCTGCTCTCACGAATAGGCAAATGCTACGAGCCACAAGCAACGAAATGCCATGACAAGGACATCCGCATTGTGCTCTGTCCTGCCATCACCGTCCGGCCCGGCGTGCAGAAAGGCTTGAATGTTGAATGCAAACCACCAGGCAGCAAAAGCATTTCCAATCGTGTTCTCTTGCTAGCCGCTCTTGGCGAGGGCAAATGCAGAATCAGCAACCTCCTTCACTCAGACGACACGCAGTTCATGTTGTCCGCCATCTCGAAACTTGGTGGCGCCACTTACGCCTGGGAGGACGAAGGCAAGACTCTGGTTGTTACCGGCAATGGTGGCAAGCTCCAGGCTAGCAAAGACGAGGTGTACATTGGCAATGCAGGAACTGCATCACGTTTCCTGACTACGGCTGTCTGTTTAGCCTCACCCACTAAGCAGGCCAGTTACACGATCCTGACCGGCAATGCGCGCATGCAAGAGCGTCCACAAGGTCCTCTGGTTGATGCTTTGCGCACGAACGGCGTGGAGATCGAATATCTGGGCAAGCCTGGCAGTCAGAGCTTGCCTCTTCGCATCGCAGCTAACGGCGGTTTCGAGGGAGGCAACATCGAGCTGACGGCCAAGGTCAGCTCGCAATACGTGTCCTCTATCCTAATGTGCGCTCCCTACGCAAAGAAGCCGGTTACGCTGCGTCTGGTAGGAGGCAAAGTCATTAGTCAGCCGTACATTGATATGACCATCGCGATGATGCGTACATTTGGCGTTGAGGTGACGAGGAGCAAGACCGAGGAGAACGTATACCACGTTCCCAGACAGAGCTATGTGAACCCGGCCAAGTATGAGGTCGAGAGCGATGCTTCATCTGCTACCTACCCACTTGCCGTTGCCGCAATTACAGGCACGACTTGCACGATCCCGAACATCGGCTCTGGCTCACTGCAGGGCGACGCACGCTTTGCGATCGATGTGCTAGAGCCGATGGGATGTGATGTGAAGCAGTCGGAACACAGCACTACCGTTGGGGGCCCACCACCTGGCCAGCTCAAGGCCATATCTGAGATAGACATGGAGCCCATGACCGATGCCTTCTTGACCGCTGCCGTCTTGGCTGCAGTAGCGAAGGAAGGCACGACCAGAATCCTCGGCATTGCAAATCAGCGAGTAAAGGAGTGCAATCGCATCCAGGCCATGCGCCTCGGACTAGAAAAATTCGGCGTGACTAGTCGAGAGTTGGATGACGGGATAGAGATTGATGGGGTTGGGCTCGTAGGGCTCAAGGCGGTAAGCGACAGTATACATTGTTACGATGACCACAGAGTAGCAATGTCCTTCGCTGTCCTCGGAACAGTCGCTCCGGAAGGCACGCTTATCGAAGAGAGGGAATGTACAGGCAAGACATGGCCAGGTTGGTGGGACCAAATGCGCCAGATCTTTGGCGTGCAGCTCGAAGGTGTGGATCTGGCTTCGCGACAATCTAAGCGAGGCCTTACTAACGGCGCTTTGACGAACGGGCATGTCAATGGTGTCAACAAGCAAGGTGAGGTGCGGAAGAGCATCTTCATCATCGGCATGCGAGGAGCCGGCAAGACGACTACCGGCGGTTGGGCGTCGAGGATACTCGGATGGCCGTTGATTGATATGGATACGGAGCTGGAGAGGACGGAAAGTATGACGATCCCGGAGATGCTGAAAGACAACGACTGGGATGGATTTAGGAGAAAAGAGCTTGCACTTCTCAAACGCCTCATGAAGGAGAAGCCGGAGGGCTACATTTTCGCTACAGGCGGTGGCATTGTCGAAACTCCCGAAGCTCGCCAACTTCTGATCGACTGGCAGAAGGAAGGCATGGTCTTGTATGTCACCCGCGATATCAAGCTGGTCATGGACTTCCTCCAGATCGACAAAACTAGGCCGGCCTATGTTGAAGACATGATGGGCGTGTACCTCCGTCGCAAGCCGTGGTTCGAGGCGTGCAGCAACTTGCATTATCACAGCCAGACGGTTGATGAGTCGGCCACTATTGCTGGATGGACGAGTCCGCTGGACGACTTCAGCAGGTTCTTGCGCACCATGACTGGACGTAGTGGCGCGCTAGAGAGGGTGAAGGGCAAGAAGCATTCATTCTTTATCGCTTTGACAGCACCGAAGATCCAGGATATTGTGCCAAAGCTGCCCCAGGTGACGCTTGGTGTGGATGTGATTGAGTTGAGAGCCGATCTGTTGGTCGACCCGAAGGCGGAGGGAGGAGTAATGAGTGAGGAGTTTTTGATTGAACAGATTGCTCTGCTGAGGTTTTCGACGCCATTGCCGCTGATCTTCACTTTGAGGACGAAGAGCCAGGGAGGCAATTTCCCGGATGAGGATGTGCAGAATGCAATACGGCTGTATCGCATTGCTCTGCGCATGGGCTTCGACTTTGTGGACCTCGAACTCACTGCTGCGCAGGAGCTGAAGACTTTTGTTCTCACGCATCGCAAGATGTGTGTCATCATCGCCTCGCATCACGATCCGAAGGGCACTATCTCCTGGGAAGATGCTGGGGAAGAATGGCTGCCTCACTTTGAGCAGGCACGGGAGTATGGCGACATTGTAAAACTCATTGGTGTGGCGAAGAAGAGCCAAGACAACGATGATCTCAAAGCCTTCAAGAACAGGATGAGAGAGTCATACCCAGATGTACCTGTCATCGCTATGAACATGGGCGATATTGGCAAGATGAGTCGTGTCAATAACGGCTTCATGACGCCCGTATCACATCCCGCGTTGCCGACGAGAGCTGCGCCGGGACAAGTGAGCACGGCGGAGATCAGAAAAGTGCTCGGCATCGTAGGCGAGATCCCAGCAAAGAAGTTGTACCTATTCGGCAAGCCGATCAGCCAAAGTCGCAGCCCAGCATTGCAAAACGCCATGTTCGCGAAGACTGGCCTACCTCATGTCTACGGCCTGCACGAGACGGACGATGCCTCTACCATCAAAGACGTCATCCGCGCTCCAGACTTCGGAGGCGGCAGCGTCACCATCCCCCTCAAACTAGACGTAATGCCGCTCCTCGACCACATCGACGAAGCGGCCCAGACCATCGGCGCCGTCAACACAATCGTGCCATCGCAAGCCGCAGACGACAAAGTCATCCTAACCGGCCACAACACCGACTGGCAAGGCATCGTGCTCTCGCTTCGCAACGCCGGCGCGCACGGCTTACCCATCGGTACCATGGCACCCGAAGCTGGCATGGTCATCGGCGGCGGGGGCACCGCAAGGGCCGCGATCTACGCTCTGCGAGAAATGGGCTACAGCCCCATCTACCTCGTCGGGCGCAACAAGAAGAAACTCTCGCGTCTCTCGTCCTCCTTCGGCCCCGA